CTGTCCCTTTTAGAAGGTGATCCATCAGTGTTAGATCAGTGAAAGAAAACTCAGCTCTTCCACTTCTAGTCATGCAGCCAAGTTAATCCTTGTTCCTGGGGGCTGTGCACACATTCTGTGGCTTCTCCAGCAGTGCCCTCGGTGGGCAGGGACTTGGGAGGGGCTGGGTACTCTACCAGAGCCACAGAAAACCTTGCTAGCATGGTGCTAAAAGGCTCTGTCTTATTCGTAGCCCATGATTAGCACCCCCCCCCTTTTTGAGTTCTTTTTCTCCACAGATGACCTTGAAGTTGCTTGGGAATAATAAATAAGGGAAGTAACAGTAAATAACTGTTGAGAACAGTAAATCACGTTGAGAAAGAGCCCATGAAATTAAACTTCTGGTCTCCAAATCCCCCCAGGGGTCAAGCACTGAGTGCTTTACACAGATAAAGTAGCATCACAGGCTTCTGTAATCTTTATTATATCCACATGGGAAGAGGAATGGACCATTTGAGCCTCCTCCAGCTTCAGTAGAATGTTTACCAGCTGTTAAACTTTCATAAGGCTGGTCTCAATGTCTCAACAAATATCATTATCAGGGCAACAAGTTATTAAGTAAAAAGCCATAATCTCTGCCACCCAGATTTCTTACAACCCCATTTGCAAGGACAGTTTGATGATGGAGACTAGCATCTGCTTCTCTGCAGCTACAAGATAATAGAAAGCATTGATGTGGTTGCAAGTTTTCCACTACTCACTGTATAATCCTAAGCAAGCTCATAGTGTTGGTACTATTACAATCCTAATGTTGCAGGTTGCAGAAATGAACCATATAAAGGTAATTCATTTAACTGTGGTTAGAAATATATAGCAGATACATAGCAGTGCCAATACAGAGCAAATATACAGCAGATATATAGCAATGCCATACTTTGGAAATGAATTGTCCCCAGAGTCCACCTTTAACCAGTACCTCTCCTCTTCCACATAACTGTCTCTCCTTTCTCACCTTCCCCAGAGTCAGAATGAATATCTGGGGAGCCTCAAAGTGTGTGAGGACTGCTGGAAGTAGTGGTGCAAGCTGTCCCATGCACGTGGGCATCTCGCCAGGATAGTCTAGTGGCCGCTGGACCCCAGCCCACACTCTGCCCGTGAAGGTGTATGTGGCTGTGTCTGCCTGGGAGAAGGGATGCCTTTTTTTTTGATTTGCACAGACATACATTTGCCTTTCCCTCATGCCTTCTTTCTTGTTATCTTTTGTACCTTTTCAGGTCTCTGCCTTTCCCCAGGAAAAAGAGGAGAAAATGATCAAGTTTCAGGTGAGTTGGATTTTTATTTCAGTCACGTAACAGGTTATTGCTCAGTAAGTAGACCCCTTTTTTCTCTTCCTTGCCAAGAATAAAGAATGGCAGCAGACATTTAATACCATTTATGTGCCACGCTTTTGTTTTGTTCTTTAAAAATTTCCTTTCAGTTCTTTCTATTTTTCTATTTTATGTATGTATTTTATTTTATATTTATTTTTATTTTAACTTTATTTTCTAAATTTTTTATTTTTATACAATTTTTAAAGGTTACTTTCCATTTACAGTTATTACAAAATATTGGCTATGTTCCCCGTGTTGTGTGATACATTCTTGAGCCTGTCTTACACCCAATAGTTTGTACCTCCCATTCTGCCATCCCCGTATTGCTCCTTTTGGTTTTTATTATCATTTTATTTCACAAATAATAGTGTAAAAGAGAATAGAAATTTTTTAAATGGGAAAACCTACACATTATTACCCTGCTTACAAATCGCCTGTTTTTTCTATGCTTTTTTCTCATGTGCATTCATAACTATGCTTGCAATAATACAATTTTGAATTTTTTTTTTACTTAAATTTATAGCACTTAATTTTTGTCATCTAATATTCAGTGAACTGTTGTACACCCTCCCCCATTTTTTAACTATTCTTCATTCACAAGCTTTTAAATTCTTGAAGATTTTCGCAGTTTTACACAACAGTATCAGTTTCTCTTCATATAATCTTTACTTGAAAAGCAATTTTGAGGGAATTCTCATATTATTTGTCCTTATGTTCTAAGGACTCAAAACTTAAAAAAATGTTTTTTTCCTAAGTGGTACCTCACATACTTTGTAAAAAGAGTATCTAAAAGATAATTTTGTTTAACAGGATCATACTGAAGCTGGACTCAGAAAAAATAGTGTTAGCTGTTTTCATACAAAAGGAGCTACATTCTTTCTTTCCAGGACATGAAAGCTTTCTTTGTGTGTCTGTGTATATTTGTGTGTCTTTGTGTGTTATACTGTTCATGAGTTAATTTATTTTACAGAGCATTAGAGGTACTTAATTTAAAATTTGTAGTCATACTATAAGGCACACAGGTCCTTCCCATCTGTCACTCTAGTCACTGCTCTGAGAGGGACTTGGAATCATCTTCACTGTCAACATGGAGATAAGAGGTTTGTGTAATTTGAAGTCCTGTTCAAGTTGCTACAGTAGGCAAGTGTCAAGACTTGATCTTCTAAATCAAAAGTATCAGGCATACCATCTGGGTGAAAAGGTAGGCAAAAAGTCAAGACAAAACACACACACACAAGCAAACAAAATAAAACCAAAATTCTTATTCAGAGACCACAGCCTACGATTGAGAAGTTTGGAGCCCCAGCAAGAACAAATGTAGTTTTGAATGGATCTTTATATAGAAATTTTAAATTTCCCTATAGCAAAAAGTTAAAAGACAAATAGCATGATAGAATGAAAAATATTTACAACAAGGCCTTAATGTCCCCAAGATGAATATTATTACAAAACAAGAAATAGAGATGACTGGCAAACATACGAAAGGAGAATGATTTTCATTACTAATCAACTTTGTGAAAATATTTTGAAATAATTGGTTTTTACATCCCAAACTGACCCCTGAGATTATCAGGTTTTTTTGTTAAGTATTCATGTCCATTGTTGGCCAGGGTAAAGAGGTTTAGGGATTTGTACTTTCTTGGAAGAAGAGTAAGTTAGAAAAATCTTTTTAGAGGAAACACACGCCATTATGGTTTCATTAACTTTAAAGTTTGTCATTCTTCAGCATTACCATTTCTACTTTTTTAAATTGATTTCAAGGAGATAATCAACAGAGTTCCAGGGACTAAGGTCTACGTGGAAAGATTTTTCTTTTGCAACATTGTTTATAATGGATAATCTAAAACTGAGTAAGCATGCATTATTTGGATCAGTTCATTATGTTCCCAATCATCAATTCCTTGAATTACCACACAGCCTGGAAATGGGATTCCAGAGATGATGATGATGATAGTAATAATCATAAGAATAGTTGACATTTATTGGGTGCTTGCTGTGTACCAGACACTCTTCCTAAGTGCTTTACCTATAGTCACTCATTTTATCACCAGTACCCTAAGGTACAGATATCCGCATGCAAATGAAGAGAGGGTGAGGAACGGGTCCAGCGTCACCAAGCAGAGCATTCTGCCGTGAACACAGGCAGTCAGGCTCCAGAGCTGTGCCCGCAGCATGACGCCATAAATGCTGCACAGTCTACATGGGGCGTGGAGGATGAGCTACATACTCTGACAGGAAGGGTGACTGGTGCCCTGTAAGTCAGGCAAATTGAGTAAGTAGTGGAAGCATGTACAAGAGGGAAGGCAGACTCCATCACGTGCTGTTGGAACTAAAGCTTTTCTAGTAGCCCAGGATGCTGCAGAGGCCTGGGACTTACCTATAGGAATGCTAACAAAAGGCAGCAATTTAAAGTACAAGGATGTCTTTTCCTGCAGCCCTTTTGGTGGATGGAGTTGGCAGCGTGAAAGGCAGTCAGAAGGCAGCTGCTTAAATTTGACTCGATCCCTCAGAATCCTGAACAGCTTCCCATCCTGGACACTTTCTCAGTACTGCCCCTCTTCCATAAACACAGTCTGTGTGTGTTTGGTGTTGTAGGAGCCAGTGTTGTTCAAGGACGTGGCCGTAGTTTTTACTGAGGAGGAGCTGGGGCTGCTGGACCCTGCCCAGAGGGAGCTGTACCGAGACGTGATGCTGGAGAACTTCCGGAACCTGCTGTCAGTGGGTGAGGACGGGCGCCCTCTGTGACTCAGTGTCAGCCTCCCGGGGTGTCTTCGTGTGCTTAGTTGTTTGACGCTGTGGGATTCCTGAACTCATTCTCTGACCTTGGGTATTTACGAGTCCCGATAGTCTCTGTGCAACAGAGACAAGATGTTTCAGATGTTTCTATCCAGGAAAACAATCTGTCCTATTAACTAAATGGGCAGTTGTGATCCTACTCCACTGGTTTGTCATGAAATCAGTTTAGTGAGTTGCTCCAGCTCTTTTGTTTTTCTGGGTGCGAGTAACTGTAGCTGTTTATTAACTTGATTTTTGGGGGGTATTTTGTTTTTTGCTTTAACAATGTATTTGTGAGTAACATCAAACTTTGCAAAATATCAGAAAATTTGCAAAAGTACAGAACAAGAACCACCCATATAGCTTTTACTTAGATTTACCTATAGTAACATTTTACCTTACTTACTTACTTACTTATTTATTTACTTACTTACTTACTTATTTATGTATTTATTTATTCATTTATTTATACATACTGAGATATAGTCAGTTTACAATGTAGTGTCAATTTTACCCCATTTATTTTATCATTTATGTACATTTTCTTTCTCTATAAATGTTTCTGTGTGTATATATATATATGAAAACATGTGTATTCATAATTTTCTGAACCATTTGAGAGTAATTTCCATACACTATGGACCTTTATCTCTAAATGCTTCAGTGTATATGCAGAGTCCAGGAGTCCCCAGGACTGTCCTCACTCTGACACCAGTTGCAAGTTCAAGGGTCTCCCAGATAACCCTGAGCCTCAGTAATTTGCTAGGAAGACCCTCAGAGCTCACTGAAAGCTGTTATACTCATGGTTATGCTTTATTACATGTTAAGGATACAGAATAAAATCAGCCAAAGGAGGAGACAACTGGGGCAGAGTCCAGGGGTATTTCCAGCACAAACTTCTGGTTGTTCCCTCCCAGTGGAGTCGTGGGCAGCACTCACTTTTCCCATCAGTGATGGCTGACAGTACACGTGGCGCATTACCAACCAGGGAGGCTCACACAAACCTTGTCGCCAGAGCTTTAATTGCAGCTGGATCACGTAGACGTGGTTGGACACCTGTGTGGCTGACTTTAGTTTCCAGCCCATCTGGAGATCAAGCTGATAAACATAGCTCAAAGGCCCCACCATAAATCACATTGCTAAACTCTCTGGTGTGGCCCAAGGCCTCTAGGTAAAAAAAGACACTCTTATCAGGTAGTACATTGCGAGTACATAGAGATCACCTCCCAAGAGCTGAGGGCAAAAGCCAGACCCCTCTTTGGGCCAAGTTAATTCTTCACTGAACAGTGTATTTCCTGGAAGTAGGATTATTCTCTTACATATCCCTAGTGCAGATACAATCCTTTTATCCATCTATCATTTGTGCTCTGATTTTCTCAGTAGAGCCAGTTATTTTTAAAGTATATTTTTCTCTCCCCAGAGCAAGATTTAGCCGAAAGTCTAGTCTAGCTGTCAGTGTCTTTCTTAGCCTCCTTTAATTTTGGAACATTTTCACAGCATTTCTGTGTCTTTTGTAACAGTGACATTTTAAAAGAATACCACCACTCCCTCCCCTCATTTTCAATAGAACATTCCTAGTATTTCCTCATAATTCAATTCAGATGGTCCATTCTGGCTGGAACTCTACAGTTAGTAGTGGGGTGTCCTTTTGAGGGTATCACATCTAGAGACACACCAACTGTCCCTCATTGAAAATGTCTAGTTTTCATCACCTAGTCAAGATGTCCAATTTCTCCACTATAAAATCACTGCTTTGTTTCCTCTGCAATCATAGGGCAACACTTTCTAAGACAACACAAATATTTCCCTATAAACAGCATCAAATGATAATTTTCTGACTCAGTACTTCCTTCACATTTAGCATTCAGAGCTTGGCGTTCTGGAGTAAGCAAGAGCCCCTCTCTCTTAACCATTTATTCATTTATTATTTGTAGGGAGTTGTGAATTATTTTTTAAAAAAATGGTTTATAATTTATTACTGTAGTAGTTTTCTTGCTAAAATTGTCCCAAATTTGGACCCTTTAAGCTGATTCCCGTGCCCTTATAATATGCCCCCACCCTTTTTATGAGCACTTCCTTATTTTGTGGCTTAGCATGCTATCTTTGGCTCATCTTTTATTTTGCCCCAGCTCTGGAATCCTCCATTTCATTTACTGGGGAATGGTATTTAACACCAAGGTCTGGATGCCGGAGATTATCATTGCCACCATGGTGTCTTTGTTTCCTGGCCTCAGGGCTTAGAGCTAGGAGGTGTGTCTGTGTGTGGACACAAATTCATATACACACACACACATTATATAAATATGTATACATATGGATGGTTATTCAGTTTCATTCAAAATAAGAGAGATTAATTCAAATTATACTGAAACACCATTTCTCACCCATGAGACCAGCAAAAATTCAAAAACTTGACACTGTATTTTTTGGGGCAGTGCCTTTAGAATAAAACACTTTCATGCCTTGAAAGTAGGAATGCAGAGGGGAGATTATAGCTCAGTGGTAGAGTGTGTGCCTAGCATGTTCGAGGTCCTGGGTTCAATCCCCAGTATACCTCCATTAATTAATAAATAAATAAATAAACAAACAAACAAACCTAATGCCCCCCCCCCAAAAAAGCGAAAGAAAGTAGGAATGCAACATGATACCACCCCTAAGGAGAGGAATTTGACAAAACTATGGATTTACCCTTTCCCAGCTATTCACTTGTAGGAATCTTCCCTAAAGATGACAAAGTACAAAAGAGCATTAATAGTACACTACAATTTGAATAAGAAAGAAGGGAAAATAAGTAGATATATGTATATCTGCTGATCTTTATAAGAAGAATCAGAAGAAGGATTAATCAGGAAATCATGACGTTAGTTTCTTGTAAGTGAGTGGGAGGTGATAGTATGGAAGGAATGTTCGAGAGAGTCATACTTGTCTGAGTATACTTTTTTGTCTAGTTTGGACTTTTGAAAATATGTCATTTCAACACATTCTAAAACTTAAATGAGAATGCAAGGGATAGGAGGAGGGTATAGCTCAGTGGTAGAGTGCTCGCGTAGCATGCATGAGATCCTGGGTTCAATCCTCAGTACTTCCATTAAAATAAATAAATAAACCTAATTACCTCCCCACCAAAAAAAAAAAAAAATTAAAGAGAAAAAGAATACAAGGGATGATAATCTGAAACTAAAATAAAAATGAAAAAAACAAATGAACTCAACTATACTCAAATAATTTAAACACATCAAAGAGAAAAAAAAAAGAATTCACAGAAGCAGCTAAGGAACACAGCATATAACTATATACCAACACAGTATATAACTGTATACCCTTAGTTTTAGGTAGAGTGGGAGGGGGATGGGACAAAGAACTGCAATCCTGAACACTTTTTAGTGGATTTGTTTATTGTACTGATACGGAATAAGCAATTCTGAAATTATTTTAAGTGTACTGCAGGTGCCAAGGCAATTTGATGGAGAAAGTATGGTCTTTTCAACAGGTGGTTTGGAAACATTTAGACTTCTGTATGCATATATTTACATGCCTCACACCTATTAAAAAATTAACTCAGAATGGATTAGAGACGTTATGTAAAATGTAGAAGTGTGAAACTTCTAGAAAGAGACACAGGAGAAGATCTTCATGACCTTGAGTTAGGCAAACAGTTCTTAGATACAGTACCAAAAACATGATTCAAAAAAGAAAAATAAAATAAGTTGGACTCAGTCAAAATTTAAGACATGTGCTCTCCTTGCCTTTTTACAGGGAAGCAGCTCTTCAAACCAGAGCTTATATTCCAGTTGGAGAGAGAAGAAGAGCTTTTGATGATGGAGACAGAAACCCAGAGAGATGGGTGTTCAGGTGAGAACCATCCAGCAGTGACCCAGCAGCCAGAGAGCCCCTCATAAAACACAAGTCAGCACCTGTCAGGCCTTAAGGTGTCTGTCCCCTCATCCCCTCTAGCTTATTCGTTCTGTTCCAGCTGCACTGTCCCATCAGACCTGTCGTAATTATGCTTCTGCTTCAGGTTACTTGGCTTGCTTTTCTCTTTGCCTTGAATGGGTGAATTGGTTAATACGTGCATGGTCTTCACTGTCTCCAGTCCTTGAGACAAAAGGTATAGAAGTCTAATAGGTATAGAATAAATCAATATAATGGAAGGATACTCCAGAATGTTGTCTGTCATTGGTGACTGCCTGTCCTAATTCTAACTGTTCAAGGTGTCCTTGAGTATTCATAGATAGGTAGCCATTATTCCAAAGATCAAAAATGGCCAGTCAACTAAAGTAATGATCAAGAATGATCAAAGCCAACACTATAATTGACCCTTCTCAGGCAGCAATTTCAAGTGATACATTCTTACATTAACTTCCTCATTCAAATCCCCATTCCGTCCTCTCTTCTTACCCTCCCATCCTCTGACTCCTAAACAGTTTCTTGACCTGCTTTCACTTGTTGGCATTTTTAAAAATTTTTTATTCAGTTTACTTAAACTGAAAAAAAAAAAAGTTCACCTATTTCTCCCATCCCCCAAATTCTGTTTCATGTAACCACCAATCTGTTCACTTTATTTATGAGCTTGGTTGTTTTGTGTGTGTGTGTGTGTGTGTGTGTGTGCGCTGGATTCCACACATAAAAGAGATCAGAGGATATTTGTCTTTCTCTGTCTGAGTTATGCCCTCGAAGTCTATCCATGTTGTTACAAATGGCAAGATTTCATTCTTGATTATGGCTGAATAGTATTCCACTGTATATGTATATGCCATATTTTCTTTATCTATTCCTTATCTTGACTGTAGTAAATAGTGCTGCAGTGAACATGGGGGTACATATATTTCTTCAAATAAATACCCAGAAGTGGAATTGCTGAATCATATGTTCTGTTTTTAATTTCTTGAGGAAACCCTAGACTGATATCCATGGTGGCTGCACCAACTTACATTCCCACCAGTGGTGCGCAAGGGTTCCCTTTTCTCCACATCCTCACCAACATTTGTTGTTTCTTGTCTTTCTTTTTTATAATAGCCATTCTAACAGATAGGAGGTGATATCTCATTGTGGTTTTGATTTGCATTTCCCTGATGATTAATGTTCTTGACTATCTTTTTATGTACCTGTTGGCCATCTGTATGTCTTTGAGAAAATTTCTATTCAGTTCTTCTGCACATTTTTAAAGTCAGATTGTTTGGTTTTTGCTGTTGAGTTGTATGAGTTCTTTATATATTTTAGATATTAGCCCCTTCTCAAATATATGATTTGTAGTTATTTTCTCCCATTCAGTAGTTTACCTGTTTGATTTGTTGATCATTTCCTTTGCTCTGCTGAAGCTTTTTAGTTTGATGCAGTCCTCCTTGTTTCTTTTTGCTTTTGGTGTCAGATTCAAAAAAATCATCGCCAAAACCTATGTCAGAGCTCTACCCCATTTTCTTCTAGCAGTTTTATGGTTTCAGGTCTTACATTCAAGTCTTTAATCAGTTTTGAGTTAACTTTTGTGTATGGTGTAAGATAGTGGTCCTGTTTCATTCTTTTGCATGTGACTGTCCAATTTTCCCAATACCATTTATTGAAGACCTTTCCCCATTGTATTCCTGGCTCCTCTGCCATAAATTAGTTGACTGTATGTTTATGGGTTTCTCTTTTCTGTTCCATTGATCTATGTGTCTTTTTTTTATGCCTGTACCATAATGTTTTAATCACTATAGCTTTTAATGTAGTTTGAAATCAAGGAACATGGTTCCTCCAGCTTTGTTCTTTTTTCAAGATTGCTTTGGCTATTTTGAGTCTTTTGTGGTTCCATACAAATTTTAGGATTCTTTGTTCTATTTCTGTGAAAAATACAATTGGAATTTTTATAGGGATTGCTTTGAGTCTGTATATTGCTTTGGGTATAATGGACATTTTAACAAAATTAAGTCTTCCAATCCATGAGCATCCATTTATTTGTGTATTCAATTTTTTTCATTAATGTCTTGTAGTTTTCAATATACAGGTCTTTCACGTCCTTGGTTAAAGTTATTCCTAAGTATTTTTTTTATGCAATTGTAAATGGGACCATTTTCTTAATTTCTGTTTTTGATAGTTTGTTATTAGTGTAAAGAAATACAACAGATTTTTTTTTCTGTGTTTTGATTTTGTATCCTACAACTTTAGTGAGTTTGTTTATTACTTCTAGTAATTTTTTGATGGCATCTTTAAGGTTTTCTATATATAACATTATGTCATCTGAAAATAGTGACAGTTTTATTTCTTCTTTTCCAATTTGGATGCCTTTTATTTCTTTTTCTTGTATAATTTCTCTGATTAGGACTTTCATTCTTTGTTGAATAAAAGTGACAAGAATAAGCATCCTTGTTCCTGATCTAAGAGGAAAGATTTCCAGCTTTTCATAGTTGAGTATGATGCTAGCTGTGGGTTTGTCAAAAATGGCCTTTATTCCGTTGAGATATATTCCCTGTATACCCAATTTGTCGAGAGTTTTTATCATAAATGGATGTTGCATTTGATGAAGTATTTTTTCTGCATCTATTGAGATGATTACATGACTTTTAGCCTTCATTTTGTTAATGTGGTGTATCACACTGACTGATTTACACACATTGAGCCATCCATGCATCCCTAGAATAATAAATCCCACTTGATCGTGGTATGTGATCCTTTTTGATGTACTGTTGAATTCAGTTTGCTAATATTTTGTTGAGGATTTTTGGCATCTATGTTCCTGACAGATATTGACCTGTAATTTTCTTTTAGAAATACAGTTTCCAAATTGTACTTTTATGTGAGTGCAAGCATTTTAGTAATGTTTCTTGAGTCCTCATCTGATGTCAAAGGCATTGTCACAACTGGATACCTAAGGATGCTCCTGGGTAGGAAAAAGTTAGTCAATTAAAAATTTCAAAACAAATTACTTTACTTCTATAATTTTTTGTTGCCATCTCTGTTAAGATTCAGGGTCATATAGGCAATACACTCTTTAGAGCAGGAGTCAGAAAACTTTTTCTGTAAGGTCCAGATGTGAATATTTTAGGCTTTGCTGGCCACATATGGTCTCTATCACATATTCTTCTTCTTTTTTTCTTACACGATTTTTAAAACTGTAAAAACTATTCTTGCTCCTAGGCTATACAAAACAGCTATTTCCTCCGATAATTTGAATTCCATTATGGCTTAATTAGATTATCAGACATCACTGTTAAGAGCTGCCAAAATTGTAACTTAACTTTGTATGTTAACTTTAAGCAAACCTTAAGTTTTAATGCAACCTCTCATAAATATCTTGTGACATCTTACACGTGCCAGTCATGCTGATCTAGCATTACAATTGCTTGCCAGAATTTCCTTTTTAATAGAAAAAGTTACTACATTTGCTTTAACTAACTGCAGGCATAAAGTGAACTATGGATAAAATGGCATGTTGCTAATATGACACATACATTTTTAAAATTACACATATATTTAATTACTTTTTTCTTATAATTTTTAGATTACTTTTTCAGTCATTAACAGTGGTCACATCTGATCACGGGCCGTGATAGGCTGGCCATTTTTGTGCTATAATACAAAGAGTAGTCTTTGTTTTCTGCATTTCACTCCCTCTGCCCTCACTCCACATAACCCTCTTCTTGTTTTCACACATTACACAAGCATACCTTGGAGATACTGCAGGTTCGGTTCCAGACCACCGCAATAAAGCAAATGTCACAATAAAGTGAGTCACGCATTTTTTGGTTTCCTAGTGCATGTGTAAGTTATGGCTATACCATAGTGTGGTCTATTAAGTTTGCAATAACATTATGCCAAAAAACAATGTACATACCCTAATTTAACGATGCGTTATTGCTAAAAAATGCAAACTATCATCTGAGCCTTCAGTGAGCCTCAGTAGTAACATCAAAGATTACAGAAAACCATGACAAACATAATAATAATGAAAAACCTTGAAATATTATGAGAATTACCAAAGTGTGACACAGAAACACAAAATGAGCAAATTCTATTAGAAATAGCGTCAATAGACTTGCTCAACACAGAGTTGCCTTCAATTTGTGAAAAACTCAGTATCTACAAAGCACAGTAAAGCAAAGCACAATAAAACAAGGTATGGAATATGTTTTTCCTGTGGACAGAGTTAAAACTGATTCTAAAATGATAGCTTTGTGGCATGGAATTGGTTGTTGGAACCATTGTTAATGTAGATGATTAGAAAGAAAGAACTTTTCGTCTCAAGCTCACATGGAATGTTCACCAAGACAGACCATATTCTTGGCCATAAAACGCACCTTAGCAAGTTTAAAAGCATGCAATGTCTGCTCTTAGAGCACTGTGGAATTGAATTAGAAGTCAATAAATTAAATAACTGGAAAATTACAAATGGAGATTAAACAACACACTTCCAGATAATATGTGGGTCAAAGAAGAAATCTCAAGTTTTCAAATATCTTAAACTACATGAAAATGAAAATACAACTTATCAAAATTTTTAGGAAGCAGCAAAAGCAGTGCTTAGAGGAAAATTTATAGTATTGAATACATGTATTAGGAAAGAAGATCCAAAATCAATCAGCTAAACTTCAACCTTAGGAAACTAGAAAAAGAAGAGCAAGTTAAATCCAAAGTAAGTAGAAGAAAAAAATAAGAATTGGAAGTAGAAAATTAGTAGAGAAAGTCAGTGAAACCAAAAGCTGATTCTTTGAAAAGATGCATAAAATTTATAAGCTTCTTAGCTAGGCTAACTGAGAAAAAAAGAGAGCATATAAATTTCTAATATCAGAAATGAAAGAAGGGACATGACTACAGAACCTGTGGGCATGAAAGGGATAATAAAGGAATACAGTGAACAAACTGCCCACAAATTTGATAACCTAAATGAAATGGACCAATTCCTTGAAAGACACAGTTTGCCAAAACTCACACAAGAAGAAATACACAATTTGAATAGACCTATATCTGGTAAAGAAATTGAATAAATAATTATCTTCCAAACAGGAAGCCAGAATTCATTCAGTTGTGAGGAAAAGAAGTAGAGATGGACAGGAAGTCCTCTAAAGGTTAAGTATACTCTGGGAGGATGAAACAGGTGAAGAAGATTAAGAGGTACAAGCCTTGAGTTATAAAATAAAGAAGTCATGGGGGTGTAATATACAGCATAAGGAATATGGGCAATAATATTATAATAACCGTGTATGGGGACAGGTGGTTACTAGACTTAATATGGTGATCATTTTATAATGTATGAAAATGTCAAATCACTATGTAAACAAACAATATTTTACATCAACTGTATTTCAATTTTTTTTAAAAAAGATAAATACTTTGTTAGAGAGAGGTAAGCCTCAGGTATGTCAAGAGATTAGCCAGCACAGCAGCTTAAGTATCAGTCTATAATCAAGACATTATTGTTACTGTATCTGATACTGTCCAGAAAATGCCTTGGTTTCTCTTACTATCTGTAAATGTAGTAAGAATAAGAATGCAGGGTGATATGAGCCTGGGTTGCCTGAGTTGATGTTTCTTGAGTAGCTTCTATTGAAGAAGAGAAAAAGAAAATATAGAGAGATTTTTTTCTGTTAATGCATTATGGATAAGCATTAAATTTAAAAGAATTATTTGGTATATATGATAAATATAACACCTTTGTTGTTGAATTAATTGATACAGGATATTGGAATGATTTGACTTTCCCAAACTCTAAAGCAGAATTACTAAGGAGATTAAGTAAATTCTTATCCTTGTTACTCCGAGTGAGGTCAGTCAGTGCTCTTTGCAGTGCATATTTTCTCCATCATATGATGTTCTTTTATAAACTTAACAGAGTTTATCATCAACACACTACCACTGATATTAAAATAGAACTTAACTGCTGATACATGGAGAGAAAATGACAAATAAGTTGTTTCAGTATGTACCACTGAGGGTATAATAAAAATTAATGTTAAATGTATGATCTCTTCCATAAGATTCTGAAACTAAATTTCACCTTAGTGAAACTTTTATTTTCCTTTCTCTGTCCCTTTAACATTAAAACCACTGGTCAGAAAGAAATTTTAATCTTTATACATTTGAGAGATTCTTATGTTATAAATTATGTATGTACAAATTTGTATTGAAACAGGTGCTTCATAAGAAATTGGGCTTTGACTAGCAAGCTGCTTTCATGTTCCCCAAGCCACCACATCAGTCCCAAAAGACATGACATATTAAACTGTATCTTCTTGAATATGTATTGAGTGTTTTTGATGATACCAAAACTCAACTATAAGCATTATTATTAACTCTAGCTGGAAGCCCATACTGCTCACATATAAGCTATTTATTTGACATTCCTTCTGTAGCATGTCCCTTCATTTCATTTTTAGGTGACAAAATATTAATATAGTGGCTGAAAGCTTTGCATTTCAGAAGCCAGAGACATTGCTGAACATTTTTTTAAAGTACTAAGATGAGTACTTACGGATACCATAAGTGTCACCCTGCAGTCAGTGCCCTGCCCCAGAGCCTCGTGCCACACAATCATCAGTGGGACCTTTTATTTTTTCCCTTTTTTTTTTTTGAGCTGGGGCTAGGGTGGGGCTACAGGTAAGATTTTGTGGAGAAAAACCTGCATTTCAGAGGTTATTTTGAAAATTTAAAAAGACAGAACCCACAAGATTCTTGTAATCTTTGCTTTTCTCAACAGCAGGTGATACCCCTGAGTGTAGCCCTACTTCTTAATACAGCCTCTCAGCTTTGCAGTAAAACTGCCATCAACAGTCCTTTCCCAAGAAAAATAACTTCCACATACGTGCCCTTTTAGTTCTGTGAGTGAGAGTGACTCAAACTGTGATCTATTCATTATATGCTTTTCGAACAACTGCTATTCGCTAGAAGTGTTGTAGGCAGTGAGGGTAACGCAGTGCATGCAACAGAGTGCTTGTCCTTGTGGGTAAATATTCCAGTGTGGAGAGATAGAAAAACAAAATTGATAAGGAAGAATTATGTGTGAGGATAATATTCATGTTATGAAGAAAAGTCCTCTTTTACTAGGTCTTTGTTTTGTTTTGTTTTTTTGGATGCTGAAAGAGAATGTACTGCCAAGCGTTAGGGGAGTACATGTTATTACTTCAACCCTGTTGGACCAGTTGCCCTCAGGGGGGATACTTCTCACCAGGATATGAAGATCTGCTGCCTGCTGAGAATCTGAGCTTTAATAACTAACAGATAAACCATTTCCACCCAAACATGCCCATCTTTAACTCTTCTTGTGCCTCAAATTCCCTAAACATTAAAGTAATTATCCCACAAAATGATGCAAGCCAAAGTCAGCGTTTCGTTGAGTTTTGTTTGCTTAATCAGTTGCCTCAGAGGACACCTAACAGGTGACATGAAACTTCCCTGTGATTCCTTCTGTCATTTTTTTCTAATGTCTTTGGAGTTGAATTCTGTCACAGTGTTTCACATTCTGACCTGCACCATGGTCCTTGATAATTGCAAAATATCTTTTGGAAGGAGTTAAACCTGATAATGGCTTACAGTGATTTAGAAGAGCTTATTATTCTCATGAAGATAATAACTCATTAAAGATAAGCCTTATGATGCCTCAAGCACAGATTAAAGGTCTTTGTTTACCTTCATCTGCACAGCATTTAACACACGATCTTCTTAAAAACAAACAATAATATGCTCATGTGCCAGAGAAAAAAGAAAAGGCAAAAAGCATTTGTCCACTTGAAACTATATTCTTTCCAATTTGAGACTGCTCTCTGCTGTTTTCTCCTTGGGAACTCCAGGCAACCCATCATAAACCCATGCTCATATGCGTTTGGTTTAACTAGGCCTTTTGAACAGAGCCACTATCCTTAATGTCCAGATTGTGTTGCAGATCCCTGACTGAATTCAAATACCCTGAATTCTGTGGCTCCTAATTATCTTATTGGTGTAGCCAAAGATGAGCCATTTTCTAAATACTGTCAGAGGTAATAACATGAATTTTCCTCTACTTTATTTAAGTGTCATGATCTAAGTGCAAAATCTTGAAATCTCTGAATAAAAGCATCCACCAAGCACATGTTTAAATTCTCTTTATTCTTATAGGAACCAAGAGTCAACATAATATGGAAAGTATTCAAGAAGCGGGATTAAGCTGCCTTTCCCCCAAAGAGTTTTCCACCTGGCAGACCTGGCAACAAAGTGGAGGAGGGTCAACCAGGTGTCAAGATTCCATGAAAGATTTTCAAGGGAACATTTCTCAGTTGCAAAAACGAGGTGATTCCCCCTGTCAGGTTTGGGCAGGAATACCAATTCAGGTTTCTGAAGATGAGAACTATCTATTGACTCATTTAGGAGATGGTTCTAGTTATACAAAAAATGAAGAATTTCCCTCTGGGAGAGCCCAGCATTCTTGGAGGAAAATGTATCTGATGGAGTCACGAAATTATCAGTGTAGATGTCAGCAAGTTTCCATGAAAAATGATTTCTGTAAGTCTGACAGCATCAATTGGATTTCACATCACAGTGGTAATCGGGGTGTACACAGGGCAGAGAAAAACTATAGCTGCCATGACTGTGGAGAAGATGTCACGAAGGTTTCATCGCTTAATCAAGGCTTAATTCAAACAGGGCAGAATCCCCACCCTGACAATGAGTACAGTAAAGCCGTCAGTGATGACTCTAGCTCTGAAGTTCACCAGCAGTTACAGTTAGAAGGGAAGCTCCGTTCATACAGTCCATGTGGAAGGGGCTGTAGTTACAGTTCAGTTCTTCATATTCATCAAAGCGTTCATAGAGGAGATGACTCTGTTTTTGAGGATTCACCTCTGCAATCCCATCAGAAAGTACACGCAGAGGAGAAGCCATGTAAATGTGAATATGATGAGAACTTCAACCAGTGTTCCTCTCATAACAGTTATGAAATTACTCACACCGGAGAGATGCCCTATAGATGCACCATTTATGAGAAAGGTTTCAGTCATACCTTAGAACTTAATGGTATTTTCAGGGTCCATACTGAGGGGAAACCCCATGAATATGAGGAGAATGGGAATGTCTTTACTCGAAGTTCTTGTCTTCAAGCCCATCAGAAAATCCAGACTGAAGAGAAACTATACACAGATGTGGATTGTGAGAAGGGTTTCGCCTGTAACTCAGATCTTAACATTCAGCACAGAGTTCATGTAGAACAGATTCCCTATAATTCTGAGGAGTGTGGTAATGGCTTCAGTCTGGCCTCACATTTTCAAGACCTTCAGATAGTCCACACTAGGGAGCAACCATATAAACATTATGCATGTGGTAACAGCTTCAGCCAAAATTCGTATCTTCAAGGCCATCAGAAAATTCACATTGGAGAGAAACCTTATAAAGAGTGTGGAAATGGCTTCAATTGGAATTCAAAATTTAAAGATCATCAGAGAGTCCACACTGGAGAGAAGCCATACAATTGCAATGCATGTGGTAAAGGATTCAGTCATAGATCAGTTCTTAATGTTCACCAGAGAGTCCACACGGGAGAGAAACCTTATAAATGTGAGGAGTGTGATAAGGGCTTCAGTCGGAGTTCATACCTTCAAGCCCATCAGAGAGTCCACAGTGGAGAAAAACCATACAAATGTGAGGAGTGTGGGAAGGGCTTTAGTCGCAATTCGTACCTTCAAGGCCATCAGAGAGTTCACACTGGAGAGAAACCGTACAAGTGTGAGGAGTGTGGGAAGGGATTCAGTCGGAGTTCACACCTTCAAGGCCATCAAAGAGTCCACACTGGAGAAAAACCATTCAAATGTGAAGAGTGTGGGAAGGGATTCAGTTGGAGCTTTAATCTTCAAATTCATCAGAGGGTTCACACGGGAGAGAAACCTTATAAATGTGGAGAGTGTGATAAGGGCTTCAGTAAGGCCTCAACTCTTCTGGCCCATCAAAGAGTCCACACGGGAGAAAAACCATACCAGTGTGATGAGTGTGGTAAGAGCTTCGGTCAGAGGTCATACCTTCAAAGCCACCAGAGTGTCCACACTGGAGAGAGACCATATATCTGTGAGGTATGTGGGAAGGGCTTCAGTCAGAGAGCATATCTTCAAGGTCATCAGAGAGTCCACACTAGAGTGAAGCCATATAAATGTGAGATGTGTGCGAAGGGCTTTAGTCAGAGTTCACGCCTTGAAGCACATCGGAGGGTCCACACAGGAGGGAAACCATACAAATGTGAGGTGTGCACGAAGGGTTTTAGTGAGAGTTCACGTCTTCAAGCACATCAGAGAGTCCACGCAGAAGGGAGGCCCTATAAATGTGAACAATGTGGTAAGGGTTTCAGTGGGTTTTCAAGTCTTCAAGCCCATCACAGAGTCCACACTGGAGAGAAACCATACAAATGTGAGGTATGTGGAAAGGGCTTCAGTCAGAGATCAAACCTTCAGGCTCATCAGAGAGTCCACACCGGAGAGAAACCATACAAATGTGATGTGTGTGGTAAGGGTTTCCGTTGGAGCTCAGGTCTTCTAATTCATCAAAGAGTCCACAGTGGTGATAAATTCTATAAAAGTGAAGAGTATAGTAAAGCTTATCCTTCATCAGAGAATCCATACAGAAATGAGATTCTATAAAATGGTGTCCTCTTTTGAAGTCCTCAAATGGGAGTGGAAATTTTCCATTCACTATAGAGTTCATAAAGTAGAAAAAGAATTTTTCATGAAATGTAATATTTCTGCCCAACATCAACGTTCACAGTAGTCAGGAGACCACACAGCAGAGACATCTAACGAGAGGGGTTCCATGTGGGATTTTGTGAGAACTTTAACATCAGTCATTGCATGTGACTTTAACCAGTTGTTGCAGTAGGGCTTATAAAAGATAAGAGTATGGTCAGGGCTTTAAGAAAAGTACAAGGATGAGCGTAGCTAAATCCACGTCCACTGGACTGTAAGCTTAGTGAGAGAAGGGGCTTCACTTATTGCTAAGTCTGTGAAACCATGACATTGCACAACTCAGTGTAGGTGCTCAGGACTTTTTGCTAAATGACTGAAAGTGTGTAAAGGTATGTTTGAAAATTTTAATTTCCCCCAAAAAAATCATTTAAAAGTGTATTTGGAGGAGGACCCCTGCAGGTAACCTTAATATAAGCACTTCAAGCAAATAAATATTATTTGAAATGTAGAACATCAGTGAAATTGCAACCTGAAATTACATGAATTTGGTTGCAACCCAACTAGGACTGGTTTGCATCCTTTGTCCCTCATAAGCAGGAATGAGCTGAATGTCTTACTATTTGGTCTGTTACAATATGGTATACAACCATTTAAGTTTAGCTGTGTATGTGTGTATGTATGTACACCTATGTGCACTTTAAATGATGCATAAGCTGATAAACAATGTTTCTGGTTAACACTGCAAAACTGGAACACTGCATTTTACATAATTGAATTTTTACTCCTGCCCTGTGTGTTAAGGCAGAGTTTTACTGTAATATTTGGAAAGTGTCAGAAATTATTACTGATGAAAAATACTTTCTTAATAAATAACAAAATTACAATACTTGGTTTTTTAATTTCCATGTTTCCATGAAGGTCCTTTTGATCTGACTGATTTTTAAGAGCTATAACCTGTCTAATCCAAACCTCCTCAGGCAGGATCTGTGGCAAGTTTGGAGGACTTTAATTTTGTTAAGTTTTCCATCTCCATACTCCTTCCACTCGCACAACGAAAGGAAAACTTTTGACTTTTTCTAAACATTTTGTTGATTATTAGGATAGGATTTTCTCTAAGCCAATCTCTGTTGTCAAGAACAAAGCATTTTGTTGGAGGGAATGAAAAATACAAGTCGGTTAGAGAAGAGTCATACAATATACATCAAAATTTAAAGTGTACATACTCATCTGGAAATCATAGAATAATAATTTAGGATAAAGTGGTTTTAAAGAAATGATGTGTACATAAGGGTAATTTTTTAAACAGGAAATTAATATGAGTTTGGATAAATTTCTCTACATTCCTGTAATACAGAGCTATGGAAAGTATGAGATCAATCTAAAATGACAGGAAAGAATCATGCATATTGTTTAGTAAAAGTGTGGATTGTACCTTCATAATATCCAGTTACCTTAAGTCTATATACATGTCTGTTCAAATACATGTTTAATAGATAATCTGTGAAAGATTTCTCACTGTCGTGTATACTGTGGTTTTATGTGACAAGCAAAATTTTGGTTTATTCTTTTTTGTACTTTTTTTTAATTCACAATTAACATTTACTAATTTTACCAAAACAATAAACTACTGAGGTATTGTCCCTTATAGTTAAGAATTCATAACGTGATTGCTCTATTTCCTTAGATGGCATTATGGCCAAAATTAAAGAATAAAACCCCTGAAGTTAATTTTCAAAAGTCTCCAGAGGATACAGATAAATTAGGTGTTGGCAACCTTACCTTTCTGTAAATTTCTTTAGGTCTCAAAGCCCATGCAGCCTACGATGTCCTAGTACAATTCAGTAGTAGTATAAATTAGCAAACTATTTTCTGTCAGATTTCTCCCTGTTGGATGAAAAGGGTGACCAAGGCACTGGCTTAACCAGGCTTCCAAGGTGCTAATTCAGGTTTCACAGTATCATTAGAAATCCAGGGCTTTTAATGCATTTCTTTACTACCCTCACTTCCAAGGGAAGATCATGAGAGCTAATGGTGGTTTTATCAGTTAGGATGCTCTTAGTTGTAGGTAACAAAATCGAACTTGAGTTGCTTGAACCAAATATATTTCTCAGTTCATATAAGTGAAAAGATACAAGGAGAATTGGATTTGGGTCCGGGTCAGTCAAGCTTTTCTTTAATTCTCTTAACTTCTGTCATTTTATGTCTTGTCTTCAGTTTGTTCACAATCACCTGCTTTTTTTGTTCACAGCTTGAGAGGGGAGAGAGCTTGTCTTGTTTTTTGAGTTTATCAGGTCCTAGCTCCCCAAAATGCATAAGGTCTCTGACCCCTTCAATCCCTATTCAAGACTGTGACTAAACCCAGACAATAAAGAATGTCCCTGGTCCCCATAAAGAGGCTGGCTTACTCCTAGTGACATGTCATAGCAGGCTGCCTTGGGAAAAGGGCAAGAACATGGACAGAGAATCCTTCTGTGGCACAAGTGCACAGAGATAGCCAAAAGCTGAAGGTGGAGCAGGAGCAATTAGAAAAATCCATCAGCACTCCAACCCCCACCCTAAGCACAAGGTAACATTAGAAACATTTGAAGCAGTGTACTGAAGACAACTGTTGCAATAACAGAATCCAGTTTCAACTTAATACCTGACCAGACTGATTCAACGCCCCACGCTAACATCCTAGCAGAACAAGTGCCCAGATCCAGGCAAAAGTACTGTTTACTTCAGTGTCTACTGTTTGATACATGGGATCTGGCATTCAATCAAAAATTACAAGATTAAAAAAAAGAACAGACAACACCCTGTTAGGAGACAGCA